GGGGGGGGGGGGAAGCCTAAAGTATTTACTATCTGGCCCTTTCCAGTAAGTTTGCCAAACCCTGGTCTGAACAAAACCAGGGATAAATTCTACTCCAGAAAGTACTCCTTAAGTACAAGAGGTGGGAGTATTACTAATATGCGGGGAAGGCTATACGTGGACCAAATCTAGCCACGGAACATCAGTAACCTGTGAGCGGCCGTAGATGTATCTGTAGGAGCAGCAAACTACTAATCAAATTGAATATGCAAAACTCCAAGTATTGCTCTATTTGGGAAAAAATACAGCTCCTCACAAGCAATACACTAAGGGCCAGGGCTCTCAACTCAATCCAAATCCTGTCCTCCTTCCTCACTCTTCCACTCAAACCTGCCTTCCCTCGCCCAGGCACAGGTTCTTTGAAAATGGAAAACGAAAGAAGTATCTGCTCTGAGAACCAGGGTTCTGGCCTATTTGTGGAACACTGGCAAATGGCAGCTAGGTAGGCATTTTAAATCAATGAATCCTAACTCTGCACTTCTGATTTCAAATAGTGCTGATTGTTTCAAAAGCAAAGAAAAACTAAATTTTAGTCCATCAATTATAATTAGGCTCCACTGGTGGTGATATTTTAACAGTTTCTTTTCAAATGATATGAAAACAAGTACCGCAGTATATCCAAATAGATCAATTCCAGGTGGCTATACAAAAATAATTATTTCAGCACTGAAAAAGTCTCATAAACACATCATCCAGACAGTCCCAAAAGTCTAAGACAATTTTCTCCAAAGGTTTTTGTTCAGCAAACTGTTTTGTCAATATGTTCAAGACAGGATTCAAAAAATTAAGCAGCAGAACTGACTTTATATACTCTAAATCGGGGTTTCTCAACCTTGGTACTATTGTCATTTGCGACCACATAACTTTTTGTTGAGAGGGTCTTTGCTGTGCATAACAGGCTGTTTGGTAGTATCTGTGGCCTCTATCCACCAGACGCCACCAACAATTTAGAGGTCACATGTCTCCAAATGCTGCCAAATGTTTCCGGGAGGGCAAAAATCACCCTGGTTAGGAACCACTGCTCCAAATGAATTAAATTTCTTAATCGTTTCTATGAAAAAAATTTCAATAACCTTTTTCTGCTTTGTGTATATTTAAACTAATTATGTGAAAGATGCAGTGAAGATAATGCTATATAAGCAGTTTTTCATAAATCTTTTATCAGTTCCTATCTATATAAGGATCTTCACTTTTTAAAAACAGCTTTATTTATATATGGGTGGCATGCAATGAACTGCACAGGTTCAAAATATATAGTATATAACTGTGAAAAAATCTCCATGAAGATAGTTAGTGAACATACCCTGTTGCTCCAAAGTGTCTGGATTCTTTCAATCAGCATATTTATTTTGAGATTCATTGTGTTGCTGTGTGCATTAATAGTTCATGCCTTTTTATTGCCAAATGGTATGGCTCTATCATAATATGCTTATCCATTCATCTACTGATAGGCATTTGGGTGTTAGTGGTTATTACAAATAAAGCTGCTATGAATATTAGTATACAAGTCTCTTCTCTTCAGTAAATACCTAGGTGTAGAATAGCTGGTAGGTCTACATTTAACATTTTAAGAAACAACCAAACTGTCAGCTTGTCTAATTCCTGATCTTAGGGAGAAAGTATTTGGTATTTATTAAAACTACATTATCTGTAGTTTTTTCAGAGAGGTCCTTGATTGAGTTGAAGTTCCTTTCCAATTCTAATATGCTCACAGTTATCGGAAATGAAGGTAGGACTGTCAAATAGCTTTTCCTTTTTGCATTTATTGAGATGATCATGTGGTTTCTCTTTTTAAGTTGGATGACAGAGTGAATTACATTAAATGCCTTTTAAATGTTAAACTAACCTTGCATTCCTGGAATAAACCCCACTTGGTCATGACATATTATTTAAAATTTGCTACATTCTATTTGCTATACTGTGTGTAGAATTTTTGCATGTATGCTCATATGGGATATTTCTGTGTAGTCTTTTCTCATAATGTCTTTGTCTAGCTTGACTATAAGGGTAATACTGGCCTCATAAAGTAAGTAAATAAGTAGTACCACCTCTGCAGTTTCCTGAAAGTGTTTGTGTAAAACTGGTATAATTCATTCCTTAAATGTTTAGAATTCACTTGTGATGTCATCTGGTCCTAGAATGTATTTTGGGGGGAGTGGGAATATTTAAATCACGAATTCAATTTCTTGAATAGATACAGGGCTATTCAGGTTGTCTATTCCTGAGTGAAGTTTGGTAGCGTATATCTTTTGATGAATTTCTCCATTTCATCTTTGTTGTAAAATTTATAGGCATAAAGCTGTTCATAATATTCTCTTATTACATTTTTATTATCTGTAGAATCTGTAGTGATGTCACCTGTCATTCCTGATACTAACCAGTTTGGCTAGAGCTTTATCCATTTCACTGATCTTCCCAAAGAACCAGTTTTTGGTTTCATTGATTTTGTCTATTGTATTTCTGTTTTCTATATATAGATTTCCACACTGATCTTTACCATTTCCCTTCTTCTAATTAGTTTAATTTAATCTTTTTGCTCATTTCTTAAGGTGGAAGTAGAGATCATTAATTTGAGATTTTTTTTTTTTCTTTTAATATATATGCATTCTGTGCTATAAACACCCCCACCCCCAGCCGAAGTACTGCTTTACTGGCATCTTATAAAGTCTGGTACATTGTGTTTTCATTTTCATTCAGTACAAAATACTTTCTAATTTCCTTTTGATTTCTTCTTTGACCCATAGGTTATTTAGCATTGTATTATTTAGTTTCCAACTATTAGAAAACTTTCCACAGTTTTCTGTTAATTTCTCATTTAATTCAATCAGATAACAAAACATCTCAATCCTTTTAAATGACTAAGACATGTTTTATGGCCCAAATTACAGTCCATCAGGGAAACTGCTTTTAGGTGGATTATTCTATAAATATTAATTAGGTAGGTCAAACTGACTAATAGTATTGTTCATGTCCACTATATCTTCGTGATTTTCAATACTGAAAGAATACTGAAATCTCCAACTAAAACTGAGGATTTGACTGTT